TTCCTTCTCTCCTTCCTTCCTTCCTTCCTTCTCTCCTTCCTTCCTTCCTTCCTTCCTTCCTTTTTTAACAGAGTCTCACTCTGTCACCCAGGTTGGAGTACAGTGGTGTGATCTTGGTTCACTGCAGCCTTGCCATCCTGGGCTCAAGCAATTCTCCCACCTCAGCCTCCTGAGTAGCTGGGATTATAGGTGTGTATTATCATGCCCTGCTAATTTTTTATTTTTTATTTTTGTAGAGATGGGGCTTTGGTATGTTTCTCAGATGGTACCAAACTTTTGGGCTCAAGTAATCCTCCTGCCTCAGTGTCCTGTTCTTTTCCTTTGTAGAAGCAATTATTTTATTAGTTATTTTAATCCTTAATAAAATATTTTCTCATGATTTCCATCTATTTCATGGTACCATTTTCCAATAGTGATTTTACTTGTTGGTAAGTTTTACTACTTTTTTTCATCCTTTTTTTTCCTTATGGTATCCTTTTATCAGTATTCTGTTAGTTTGTTTTTTTCTTTTTCTTTTTTTTGAGACAGAGTCTTGCTCTATCACCCAGGATGGAATGCAATGGCATGATCTTGGCTCACTGCAACCTCTGCCTCCTGGGTTCAAGTGATTTTCCTGCTTCAGCCTCTTGAGTAGCTGGGACTACAGGTTGTGCCATCACACCTGGCTAATTTTTTGTATTTTTTAGTAGAGATGGGGTTTCACCATCTTTCTGGTCTCAAACTCCTGACCTCAGGTGATCTTCCCACCTCAGTCTCCCAAAGTGCTGGGATTACAGGCATGAGCCACTGTGCCTGGCCAAGAATCACCTTCTTAAAATAAAAACCAGATCATGTCATTCCCAGCTTAAAATCTTTTGGTGACTTCATACTTCATATAGAATAAAATCAGAATTTCTTCCCAGTACTATTAAGACTCTTGTGACAGTCAAGTCTCTGTTTATCTCTCCAACCTCACCTTAAATCTGTCTCATGTACAACATGCTCCGGCCACAGTGGCTTTCTTGTGGCCTTTAGAATATGACAGGTTCCTGCCCAGTGTAGGGCCTTTGTCTGTTAAACACTCCTTTTGTCCTGCCTGCTCTAGTCCCCGGATTCTTTACTTTATTAGGTCCTTCTCATTTTATAGGACTGAGCTTAAATGACATATTTTCTGGATGCCTTCCCTGGTCTCTTGCTTGCTTCTGTCACAGCACCTAAAATTTATTTATGTTTCTCTTTTCCTTCTTTCCTCCTTCTCTCCCCCTTTCCTGTATTTCTTCCTTTCTTTCCATATTCCTCCCTCCTTCCCTCCTTGCCTCCCTCCCTCCCTTTCTTCTTCCATTCTTTCTTCCTTCCCTTCCTCTCTCCCTCTCGCTCTCATTTTCTTTCCTTCCTTCCTTCTCTCTCCTTCTCTCTCTCTCTCTCTCTTTCTTTCTTTCTTCCTTCCCAGTTTTAGAAGCACAGTGCAGGAATAGTGATTGGAAGGTTTATTGCCGAGGTAAAATGAGGAAACTGAGGCAAGCATAAGAAAATGAGAAGCTAATTTATTCAGCTCCTGGGTGAGGTTCTGTGGTCCAGGAAAGGGCCAGAGAAGTCATGCCCGGCTGTTTAGGTCATGGGGTTTTATGAGAAGGGAAGGCAATTGATTGGCTATTGGGGAAACAAAGCAAAGGCAATTTTATTGGCTGTCAGGAAGCAGGAAGTGCCTGAAACTAGTTGCTATTGGTAGGTGGGCAGGACTTTGGGTAAGTGGGTCTTGATTGGCTGTTGGGGAAACAAAGTGAAGGCATTCTTATTGGCTATGAAGAAGCAGGAAATGCCTGGAGCTAGTGGTTATGGGTAGGCGGGTGGGACCTTGGGCCTTGATTGACAGGGAAACAAAGTGAAGGCAATCCTATTGGCTATTAAGAAGCAGGAAATGCCTGGAGCTAGTGGTTATGGGTAGGCAGGCCTTCTGGGGGCATACAGAGCAGACTGCTACCAGGCAGGGTCTGATGGGGCTTCTTTAAAAAAATTTCCTGCAGGGTTTATCAACAGCGGGCTGGGGGTTAAATGTATAATTTAGTGCTGAATGTGGGCTTGGGTCTGGTATGCGGAGGCGGGTGTGGAGAAGCCGTGCGGCAAGGCCGGATAACAAGCCCGGGTGATGACGTGGTTATCAGATGCGGAGAGAGATGGATGTTTCTGTTTAACCCTCTGCGAGGCAGCCGCCTTACAGTGATTATCTTCCTCTTCCTTTAACTTCAGTACCTAACACAATGCCTGTCTATAATAGGTACTAAGAGATGTGTGTTAAAACAATGAGTAATGAATGAGTAAACATTAATGAATGAGTAAACAAAGATTGTTTTCA